ACTCAACAGAGAAGCGAAGGAAGGCACCAAAAGCAAAGGAGAGAGAAGCGAGGCAGGATCAGAAGTGCCTGCACGTGGGGAAGGCTCCACACTCCCGCCGTGGACTGCACAATCCTGGCTACAGGAGGGCCCCTCCACCCTCCGGGGCCTCCGGACTAACACGGGGGCTGCCCAGAGACTGTGTGGTGGCCCTGCTCTGGAGCGGGGCACAGTGAGGTCCTGCAGGCTTCTGAGCCCTGAGCGCTGCAGCCAGCGCCATTCTGAGAGCCCAGACCCAGAGCGCTGCGGCTACCTGGGGCCAGAGCTGCACCCTCATCCCTGCTGCCTAGCGGGGGGGTGGGGGGAGTTAGGAAGCTGGGCACTGTCATGTGCTCCAAGGACAAATATTGCTGCTGCTGCTGCTGCTGCTGCTGCTCTGCTGCAGGACACAGGAGCAAGCAAACCCCAACAGCCTGCCCTGCCCCCGCCTGAGCTTTCTGCAGTAGCCTGGGGACCAGCCCGCCCCTCCACACAGACATTCCCCAGCACCTGCCTGGACTGTGACAAACACGGGGGAACCTGCTGCAAGTGCTTTTTAGAGCAGGGGAGGGCAGAGTGTGCACTTAACTGCACCAGAGAGCCCCTGGCTCATGATCCGAAGTTGTCTGCACCCCTCCAAGTAGAGACATGAGCGCAGAGACAAGTCTGTAGGGCGGGAGAGTGTCCCCCACCCTAGAGCAGAAGCAGCACTGGAGCCCGGGAAAGGATGTGGAGACAAGGACCTCCCCTCTTCCAACTACCCGATGTTGCAGACGTAGCTGTCTTTGCCCCCAGGCACGAGCTTTTGGCATGGTGAGCTGCGGGATGGCCAGTGCCAGGCTTGCAGGGGTAGATACACCCCCAATAGTACTCTGCTCACCACTCCTGAGTTCTGTGTGGAGGGTGCGGCTTATGTCCCTCCCTTCATGAACGGGCCGTGCTTCTGCAGCTGTCCCGACCCAGAAATCTCAGCCCTTGGGTCTCTGCAACACTGGACCACAGCAGTGATGCAGAGTAGGACTGGTGAGTCCAGGGGAACTGTGGGTCTCCTGGTGCTTGGGCATTCAGGGCAGGCCACATCCAGCTGACAGGAGTGAGGAACATACCAGAGGGCCCCACAGACACGAGGGGACTAGGGCACCAGCTTTCCACCATTCAGAACCTTCCCTCCTCCCCTCCCTGGCCCACTGCTGCTAAGGCAGCCATGGCTCTTTCTGCTCAGGACTGGTGGAGGTTCCACAGGGGACAATTAAGTCAGGGCACTTGGGAGTGGCTACCCCACCTCTTGTAGAGTACTCACCACACCCAGGATCCCACAGAGCTTGGAGCTCACTCCTTTCCCTCCAAAAAGCCACAGCAAGCGCCTTCATGTGTCCCAATGACGAAACCTACTGTCTCCCCTGAGGGACAGTAGTCCTCCCTGCAGCTGCCTGTGTCCGCTAGGAGGAGCCCACCCTCCCAGGAGGCAAGTCCCTGGCACAACCACACCTTCCCCGCTGCAGCATTTCAGCCACAGCCCACAGCGGGTCTGGCAGCCCCGCACACAGCAGGCCCAGCTGCCTCCACCACCTCCGCTGCAGCGGGGCCAGGTCTGAGAATCTGGGTGCTTTTGTTTCCCTGAAGGACAGGGACCACTGTCACTGCTGAGAGAGGAGGTGTGAGTAGTTCATGAGTCCCATAGCCTCCGCTAATCTCATCAAGAGGAGCCCGCCCCTCCTGTCACGGGCTCACGTGCATCCGCCCTCCTCCTACCTCTCCAGCAAGAGAACACCCCAACCCTCACCATCACGGTTAGCACCTGAGCTCAGGGAGGCTTGAGGGCAAGTCTGCAGCCTGGTCTTAGTCTGGTTGCCCCAGGCACACACCATCAAGGGGCCTGGAAACTGTGGATTACCTAACCTAGTTCACTACTGCTACCACCAGAACACTCTCCCTGGGGTCTGAGGTCCAACGGACCCAAATTGCCAGCAACACCATAGTGAGTCCCTACCTGCATGAGTTGAAAGGCAGCGAATCTCTCTACACTGAACAGCAGAGTTACCAGCAGAGTAGGGCAGGTGAACTGCAAAGCTATCTGTTTTGAAGTGAGCAAAGCCGTTCCAAACGAGAAGGAACCAGCATAAGAACTCTGGCAATATGAAAAAGCAGGCTCCTTCAACACCCACAAAGGAACACACTAGCTATCCAGAAATAGACTCCAACCAAAAGGAAATGTAAATCAGAACAACCTCTATGGAAAATAGTATGGAGGTTCCTCAAAGAACTAAAAGCAGACCTACCATTTGATCTAGCAATCCCACTACTGGGTGTCTACGCAAAGGAAAACAAGTCATTTTATATAAAAGACACCTGCACTCATGTTTATCACAGCACAATTCACAATTGCAAAGATATGGCATCAACCTAAGTGCCCAACAACTGATGAGTGGATAAAGAAAATGTGGTACATATATATACCATGGAATACTACTCAGCTGAAGAAGGAATGAAATAATATCTTTTGCAGCAACATGGATGGAACTGAAAGCCATTATCTTAAGTGAAGTATCTGAGAAACGGAAAAACAAATACCACATTACTTATTTATAAGTGAGAGCTGAAGGATGGGTATACATGGTTATACAGAGGGGTACAATGGACTTTTGAGACTCAGAAGCAGGGAAGGTGGGAGGAAGGTGAACGATTAAAAATTACTTACTGGATACAAAGTATACTATAGGGTGATGGGTACACTGCAAGCCCTGACTTCACCATGTACAATTCGTCCATGTATCAAAAAAACACTTGTACCTTCTAAATCTATTGAAATAAAAAAAGTACAATATAATAACATAGGCTAAAATATGTTACAGGTATTAAAATGAGTATTTGTGAAGAATTTCAGTGACATGGGGAAAAAGGTTTCAACAATAAAATTTTTAAATAGCTAAATAGTCTGTATGAGAAGTTCACAATTAAAAAACTTACGTTTTTTAAACATACAAAATGTTTCAAATGTTACAAATGGTAACAGTTGTTGTGTTTGGGTGGTAGGATAAAAAATGGTTTATTTTTCTTCTGCTTTCCTTTATTTTCTCTTTTTCACCAATCAGGCATTATTTCCCATTAGTTTTTCAATTCTAAAAACTTTATTTAAAAAAAGAAAAAAGGTGAAAGCTGAAAGATTTCTAAAAAATTGTAGCATTTTTCCTGAAGAATGAATAAAATACACAAGGGTATATAGATACACGATTCGCGGTGTCCTTTTACACCTTGTGACGTGTTGATTGTCCAGGCAAATTGAAGTTGAGGGAGTCCATAGTGTTTCCCTCGTAATTTGGGAAAAATTATTATATGAGAATTGGGCACACGGCTCCGGTAACTCTACGGCAGTTTGGACCTCAGTTGTAAGAGATACCGCAGAGTTTCATACTGTACAATGGATTAGAATTTACTGTCCTACATTCAGGCTGCTAGAGGTAGATCCAAAAAAGAAGACAAATTGGTCTTTTTCCCCCCACTATGTTTCTGAGACAAAAAAAGTAGTCAAACTTTTGAAAGAAAAAATGTGTTCAATATTATAGAAAGGAAAGTAACAGTTGAAATGGGATCATCAGCTCATTTTTCCTGCTGCCAAGAGCAAAGGAAGTAGGACAAATAACGGCACTGTGAGGCTTCCCTGGGGGAGAGGGGAGGGTTTACGGGCGTCACATGAGCTTTCTCCAAACACATCAATTACAGGACATTTTATGAGCACAGTATTTTGAGATTAGGGGCTCCAGATTTTTAAAATCTGCCCTATAATCACTAATGATAATAATGGCTTATATGTATATATTATATGTAGCACCTCATTTCATCCTCAGAAGAATATTTCCATTATAGAGAAGAGCAAATCAAGTTAAAGAGAGGATACATAACGTGCCCAAAGTTGTATATATTTTAGACACAGAATTGGAATTTTAATCCCAACCTTGCATTCTTAGCTCTGAAATTCTTCTGCATCTCCTACCAAACAGCAAATGGTGTGAGCAAAAATTCTTCTCTATTTGTCTAAAGTGAAACTGTTTGTAAGCTTCAAAGACAAGCCCATCCCTGATGTCTTCACTCTCACCTGAACGACCATACAACTGACTCTGCAGCTCCCTTCTGGCTCCTAACACGCTCTGTGATGTCTGGCAAGAGGACTCTGCATGCAGGCTTTATCTCCCCTACTGTGGAGACGCGGATTTGGGGGGCATTATGGAATCTCATTGACGTTCACCTTCCCCACTGTCCCCAGTATCACCCGCATGTCTGTGAGCAGTGACTGATCAAGAAATTGCTGAAATCATGACTGGCTGACCAAACTCTTGACAGGTTATTAATGATATTTTCCACAGAATTCACATCTTTTCAGGGATATCCTAAAATCTCCAAAGATGATTCCATCTAGAAGGTGAGAGACCGAGCAAAAGGAGCTTTCTGAAAAGACTTCTCACTGTTTATTATAATCCCTTGGGAGAAATGAAAATTTATGTTCCTGCAGTCTTTTTTTTTTTTTTGTGACAGAGTCTCACTTTGTTGCCCGGGCTAGAGTGAGTGCCGTGGCATCAGCCTAGCTCACAGCAACCTCAAACTCCTGGGCTCAGGAGATCCTCCTGCCTCAGCCTCCCAGAGTGCTAGGATTACAGGCGTGAGCCACCGCACCCGGCCCCTAGAGTCTTAAAGTTAGCACCTCAATCAGTAATTTCTTTAAAGTGATTTGCTTGATATCTGAAATAAAATTACATTTATGTCATTTACATATTTATTTTTAAGTAATCTTCCTTTTTACGGTAAAAATGTAGCTTCATTCAGACCCATTCCTTCATTCCTTTTCTGCTCTTAAGGTGGTTTGGGGCTCAACAGAAAAGATTTGAGCAAGGTCCTAGTGATACCACTGGCATCCTGAGCCAACAACACTGCCCCAAAAGGGTGTGTTTTAGGTCAAGGTTAGTTTCCCTTTATATGGTGTTACTTACAACTGCTGGTGAGGGGACATGGATGCTCGCAACGGACCGTGGGCGGATGTGGTTGACCAGATGGCAGAGGACGACGCCATCCATGAGTGCCGCCCCCAGGTCCTCGTGCAGACTGACCTTCAGCCTCATCTCGATGCTCTGTTGGGGGAATCAGAAGGAAGCCAGTTGCTATCGACACTGAGGCAACCGAGGGTAAAATATAATTACAGGTATTTACGAACTGAGGCACTCATTCCATTATGGGCTATGAGGATAAGAATGTTCAGAAAACACCGACATTATTTACATCTTTTCCAATAATATTGAAAATGCCTCTGCATAAAAAGAAATTCAGTTGTGTCTAAAATTTTTAATTAGTAGAATGAAAGAAATCATGGAATCGCTTCTTGAGCTCAATGCTTCCTCAGCCTTGGCAATGAAAATATACAAACAGAATGAATTGATAAATAAAAACCAAATCTGACTGGTTCAGACGGTCTGTTTTAGTTGAGAAATCAATTTTTGTTCCTTTTTAAAAAATTAAACTTTTGATTTTGAGATAATTTGAGATTCATATGCATTTGTAAGACATAATAGAGAGAGATTCCATATACCCTTTGTCCAGTTTTCCCCAATGGTAACAATTTGCAAAAAAACAACCAGGATATCGACATTGATACAGTCAAGACATACAACATTCTCATCACCACGAGGATCCCTCCAAGTCTGAGATATAGGAGGCAAAAAGCAAGCCCATGGAGCTCACTCTCATGTTGTTCCTCAAGTTCTAGAGACCCTGGCCAGTCTGCCTTCTTCTCTTTACCTTTCAGAGTGTTCTTATGTTTGCTTTATATTTAATGTCTTGGAGTTTAAGTGTATTTAGTGGGAGGAACAGGGAAAAATATGTCTACTCCATCCTCTTGTAAATCAATTTTAAAACCTCAGATAAAAGTTTCTGCTTTGTAACAGAAGCTCCTTTTAACAGGATAATAGCCTATGAAGGGATGAATAAATTTGGTGATTTAAAATACATGAAAACTTAAAAAACAGTGCCTATCATAGAATAGTGTTATATAAATCTCTTTCTGAATCGTACTGTTTGTAGACACATTTTTAAAAGTACTCTTTCAGTCCCTAATTTTATATCACTAAATTAAAACATAACTGATCAATATGACCCATGCCTAAGATAAAATAATAAGGTATCACTCTTTGAGAGGCGTATCTTGGCTTCTGGTCTTGTCTGCACAGATCTTGGAAAGTTCACCTTCCAAGTTTACAGCACGTCCAAATACTCTGGGCAAATGACAGGTCTGACTTTCCCCTCGTGCTTGTTGAACCAACCACCATGGCTTCAAGTGGTGGTAAAAGGTTTTTTTTTTTAATTCTTTTCTCTGGACCACCTGCTAGACGATATACAGAGTATCATCTGCCATAACAAAGATGCCGACTTACCTTAATTTAATTTAAATTTTATTCATAGGATTCATTGCTCATTTGTATAACTCAATACTATCTGAAATTGCATATTAATTTGTTTCCTTCTTATTTACTATCTGTTCCCAATAGACTATAAGCTCCATAACAGCAGGGACCTTCCTGTTCTGTCCATGTTCACTGCCTGGAATACCACCTGTCTAAGTGGCAGTCAATAAATATTTGTTACTGAAAGGAGAAATTTAACATAAAATCTATCTCCTCCAAAGAGATTTCTTATACTCTTCTAGTTCAGAGCTATGATACCTCTCTTGGAACATAAAGAACTTATGTAGCAATTCATAACGTGCTGCCTTTAATAACTAACACCAATGTCTTCTTCCCTGTGCTGTTATTTAATCTCCCACGCGGACAACCGTCTACAGAGTGCCCACCAGGAACTGAGAAATGCAAAAGGAATAAGACAGCCATGGTCCCTGCCATCGCCAAGCTTAAAATCTTCAATGTTCGCCAGCACATGACTTTGTCCTTGGTAGGAACTCAGATGGTTTGTCCACTGAATGATTAATTTAAAAGCTCTGACCAGTTTGGGGTACAAAGTGAAGATAATTCTAAACATCTTTAAATTAATGGAATATTATTATTAAGTAAACAAGTGATAGAGCATTATTTTAAAGTATACCTAAATTAAAATAGGGCTAGCATTTATGCATATGTATTAAGATTTTCTCCTTACATTATCTCATATTAACATATCCGTCACAAAACCCCACTGAGGTGGATTAGAACTAGTTTTTAGTACATGAAGAGACTGAGACTCGGTGTTGTTATATGACTTGCCCAATATTGGTCAGTCAGTAAGTGACCTAGCTAGGTTTGAAACTAGGCTTGTTGGCAATACTTCAAAGTCCTACTTTTTTAAAAAATAGAGCCAGGGTCCTACTTTGTCACCCAGGCTAGAGTGCTGTGGTATCATCACAGCTTACTGTGAACCTGGAACTCCTGGGGCTCAACTGATCCTCCACCTCAGCCTCCCAAGTCCCTAGGACTACAGGTATGTGTCGCCAGATCTGGCTAACTTTTTAACTTTTTTGTAGACACTATATTGCCCAGGCTGGTCTCAAACTCCTGGCCTCAAGTAATCCTCCCACCTCGGCCTCCCAAAATGCTGGGATTATAGGCGCAAGCCCCTGTGCCTGGCCCTATTTTTAAAAAATATAGAATGTTGCTTCACTTCTGAAAATTATTCTTTAGTTACATAATATTTCTTGGGTACCTCACGGAGTTGTTCCACCAGTTCTTTTTCTTCTCTCATCTGTTCCATTTTCCTTCGGATTGTAAACTGTGGGTCTATAGATTCCAAATTTCTCTGAGGTCTTAGAAACACTGCAATACAAGGGGAAAAAAGTTTTTATGTAGTGCCTTGTACAAGTTGCCACACAGCACTATTCATATTAAAATTAAACAGTGTTTTTATGTATCCAAAATAATTCATTTGCCACTCGAAGAAACAAAAGAAATTCTGATTTCACAGGGAAAGTTTGATTCAAGTACTCTGAAAGAGGTTATATTTTAAATGACACTGGATTGTGTGGACTAACAAGCTGTGTTTTTTGGTGATAATAAACTGAATGCAGGGAAGGGTCTGGGTCATTGTTGGGACCATCCCAGGCCACTTCTCTGAGAGATGGCCTTTCTCTCTCACCCTTCCACTATTTTCATTCTAAGTTTTAATTTACACTTACAAACTTTTCATGAAATTCAGATAATTTCTTTCAAATAAGATGGCTCTAGAATTGTTTTACTTATTAAAAATAAGCGCAGGTTAATGTTTTTGCTGGCATAATATTTTTCTGGGTTAAGAACTAAGTGACGGGTTAAGAACTAAGTGATGATACACAGGATTACGTATCTGAGTGTGGAGTGGAAAAATTCTGCCTTCTAGCCTGTCACTGACAGGGTATCCAAAAAGTTAGCTCTCTGGAGATGAGCACAGACTTCTTTTAGAAAGGCTGGCAAGATTAGAGACAGCTTAAGAGATCACTGTTGGCTTCAGGTCCTTAAAGTCACAACCTCCAAGAATAGTAACTAACAGCAGTGCTTTCTCTGTAAGGAGTGAAGAAAATGCATGCTCTTAACCTCTGAAGACTAACATCTTTTAAA